AATAAAATTATCTCAGGAAAAAAATATATATTTCTGGGTTTTATATGAATGTATGTGTATAAATATTGTTGAACTTATTGCATTTAATATAAATTAAAAGGAAAAGAACAAGTTACGGATACACAAAACAATATGGATGAATCCCTAATTTAAAACACTACGTTAGGACTTCCCTGGTGGTGCAGTGGTTAAGAATCTGCCTGCCAATGCAGTGGAAATGGGTTTGAGCCCTGGTCCGGAAAGATCCCACATGCCGTGGAGCAACAAAGCCCATGCTCCACAACCCCTGAGCTTGTGCTCTAGAGCCCATGCTTTGCAACAAGAGAAGCCACCACAATGAGAGGCCCGCGCACCGCAACGAAGAGTAGCCCCTGCTTGCTGCAACTAGAGAAAGCCCGCTTGCAGCAACGAAGACCCAACACAGACAAAATAAATAAATGTTTAAAAAAACAAAAACAAAAAACCCCCACCATGTTGAGAAAAATAAGTCAGACATGAAAGAGTACATAGTGTATTATTCCATTTAGATGACGTTCTAGAATAGGAAATATTAATCTAAGATGATATAAATCAGAGCAGTGCTGTCTGGATGTGGGAGGAATTGACCTAGAAAGGAGTATCAGGTAAATTTCTTGAGTATGGAGATGTTCTATATCTTGAACAGGGTGTTGGCTACACAGAAGCATACAATTATCAAAGCTCATTAAACTAATCACTTAAAATGTGTGCACTGTTTCATTCTAATTATGCTTCAGTTAAACAAAACATACTGTGGAAGAAAGGATTTCTGAAGCAAATGACAGAGATTCAACACATGTATAATTGGAGTCTTCAAAGAAGAAAAGGAGTGATGGAACAGGACAATTATTGAAGCTATAATCCAAAAACAATTTTCAGAAATAAAATACTTCTAAGAACATAACATGAACCAGGGAAAATTGATCTAATATGTCATCCCCTGTTTATGTTTCAGTAAAGTTTCTGGACTCAAACAAATAAAGAATAGTGATGTAAAAAAAGTTCATGTCATGTATAAGGGGGAAAAAACAAAGATGAGACAACTCTGAAAGGCTATCTTGGCTCCAGAGCTCCTTACACGATGGCGTGAAGCCTCTGTTGGAACCGCAGTGCAGATCATTTCCCTCTGCCTGCTCCTGCTTCCCTAAGTTTCTAATAGGTGTTGCTTCTAAGCACCCTCTCCCACACAAATCTCCACCCCACATTTTCAGGCATTCCAACCCAAGACATACCACAAAGAAACCTCAATTAATTCTGAAAAGTAGAAATAGTATAGATGACGATCTCTGAGAATAATGCAATAAAACTGCAATCAATAACAAAACTAGAAAACCAGTCACTAGCACTTAAATATTAAAAAAAAAAGTTATTGGGTTAAGAAGGAAATGTGAACAAATTGCAGAATATTTTTAAAAGAATAACATTCTAGAATTATCAGAACCCATAGGATAGAGCAAAAACAGTGCTCAAAAAATGTATGGCCTTATATATTTACATTAGCAAACAAGAATAAATGAAAGTAAATATTCAACTGAAGAATTAAATAGACTCTGAAGATTGAAATAGAAATTAATAAATTAATGTGGAATTAATAAATGAATACAAGAGTATTTTTTTGGAAAAGAAAAGTAAGAAGCAATAAAATAGATTGAATCTTTAGCTTACCTAATTAAGAAAGTAGAAAGCACAACTATACAAAATAACAAGTAAGTGACAATAAACATAGACACAGGGGAAAAAAATCGTGGCAGAATACTTAGTTCAACTCTGCAAATAAATTTGAAAGCCTGGATGAAATAGATCATTTTCTAGGAAAATTATGAGGTACCAAAACGCCCTCCAGAACAAATAGAAAATTAAAATGATTTGCCAAAAAGGTATCTTTGCAATAAATACTAGGCCAAATTCAGATGAGTGCTACCACATCAGTAAAGAGCAGATAGATTCAATCTCATTAAAACTACTGTAAAACATGGAAAGAGAAGATTTTTTCCAAATATTTTTGGAAGAAATGAATCAATCTCTTACTAATGTAGAAATTCCAGATAAAATATTAGCAAATAGAATTCAGCAGCACATCAAAAAATAATATATCACACCAAGTGGAGTTTATTCCAGTGATGCAAGGATAATTCAATACTAAGAAAATTATTTAAAATTGTATTAATAGATTTATGATGAAAAATCATATGATAGTTTATATGGATGCTAAAATGGATTTAAGACAATTTGGTTTCCATTCTTATAAGAAATAAAAATAAGATGAGTAGATAGTTACCTATATAAAACTATATTATATATTAATATATTAAGGTGTATTTTTTAGTATATTAAAATACAGCTCTCAACTCAAAATCTGGCGTAGTATTTCCTATGAAGTAGAGAGATTCCCACTAAAATCAGGAACAAGTTGAGTATGTCCATCAATATTACTATTTAATATTGTTCAGGAGGAACTTAATAATCAATTCAATAAGAAAAGAAAGAAATTAGAGGTATAAAAGTTGGAAAATAGGGAATTCCCTGGTGGTCCAGTGGTTAGGACTCTGTGCTCTCACTACTGAGGGCCTGGGTTCAATCCCTGGTCAGGGAACTAAGATCGCACATTCCATAAGCTGTGCAGTATGGCAAAAAAAAAAAAAAAAAAAATAGAAAATAGTAAAATTATCAATATTTGCAGACATTCAATTCCTGGAAGCTAAGGAGGAATCGGCTGAAAAACTCATAACAAATAAGAAATTTCAGTAAGCTTAATATATATTAACAATCTTTATGTATACAAGCAACAATCAGTACTAGAATCAGTGCCCCCCAAAAAGTTAAGAGGCCCAGGGAAAAAAAGATCTACAAAGAGAAAATTTTTAAATGATCCTCGGAAACACAAATAAAGACTTAACCAGCTGGAAGGGAGTACCATGGTCTTTGATTAGGAAGACTCAACGTTCTAAAATGTTAACGTGATTCAAATAAAATTTAACTTGATTTAAATAAAATTACGAGTAAAATGTTTAGGAGAAGGGGATCTAGACAAGCTCAATGTGAAGTTTATGTGAAAACCCAAACGAACAAAAATTACTAAGAAAAATCTGAAAAGAAAGATAATAGAAGGGAGATACCCCTACCGGATTATAACATTTATTATAAAGCCTCACTAATTAAAATATACTATAAAGCTTCACTAATAAGAAGACAGATGGAACAGAATAGAAAGTTCAGAACCTGACCTAAACACACATGAAATCAATGGGGAAAATATGGACTATTTAATAGGTGGTGGTGAGACAACTAAGATTGTATGTAATAATTTTCTAGATGGTTACAAATGGATAAAACATTTAAAACTGAAAAATAAAATCTTAAAAGTGGCAGAAAAATTCATGGTTTGAAAATGAGTATATATATATATATATATATAATATACATATATGTATATAAAATTGTGGAGAATGCTTTTTAAAGTATCACAGTAAATTTTAAAGTATCACACTAAATTCAAAAGTAAGGGCTTCCCTGGTGGTGCAGTGGTTGAGAGTCCGCTTGCCGCTGCAGCGGACACGGGTTCATGCCCTGGTCCGGGAAGATCCCACATGCCGCGGAGCGGCTGGGCCCGTGAGCCATGGCCGCTGAGCCTGCGCGTCTGGAGCCTGTGCTCCGCAACGGGAGAGGCCACAACGGTGAGAGGCCCCCGTACCGCAAAAAGAAAACAAAAACAAACAAAAAAAAAGTGAGAAAGGAAAAGATTCATTTAGTACATTAAAGTTTTTACATTTTTTTCCTAGGTATAAAATACTATAATTACTGTCAGAAGAAAAATACAAAATATGAAAAAGATTAGAAATACCCAACAGACAATTATAATTTCCCTAAAGTATAAATAACTCCTATAAATCACTAAGAAAAATAGAAAAAAAAAAGACAAAAGAAATATAATTATCTGTTAAGGCTGACGCTCAACTTCATTTTTAATAAGAGAAATGAAACTTTATAATATAGTGAAAAAAACAAACTACACTGAAAAACCAGATTGGTGTTTTGCCAGTGGTATGGAGAAACAAGTATTTTCCTATGTTCTTTGTGTAGGTGTAAATTGATATGATCTTGGAGAGAGGGAGAATTAAACAGCTTTCAAAATTACAGTTATACACACCCTTTGGTCCAGCAATTTCACTTCTAGGAATGTATCCTAGGGATGCAAAAATGTATATATGAGCACCATTATTTATTGCAACATTGCTTAAGCTGGCAAAAGATTGAGAACAACCCAAACATCTAGCTAGCCTGCTCTCAGCCCACAAAGCCAGGCATCAGGCTCCAGAGCTCTGTCCACCCAGGGTAAGAGCTACCTTCTACTTATGCACACATAGGCATGTATTCTCACAGGGAGAAATTAGAGACTCTTGTAGAAGCAAGCCTAGACTTTTATGATTTTTGTCAATCCTTTATTGTTGTCTTGTCTACACATAATTTAATTGCACTTTTACCCACCTGGCTTTATCAAATCCTTCCAAAGATTTCTAATCCAGTTTTAATAAAATAGGAACAACCCTCTTTATGCAGTTATATTTCATTATTTATGCAATAATTAATTATGTAACTAACCTGTTACAACAAATATAACACTTAGGAATAAATAGATCTGACAATTGGCATCAGCTCAACTGGTGGGAGTAGCTGTGCTCTGGCATGATGCTAAGTAGCCTGCCTGCTACAAGTATTCACCATCCAAGATAACAGTTGCAAATCTGAAAGACGGATTGGAGAGATTTGGTTAATCCAGCAAGTTGGTTAAGTGGTCATTTGCGAGAGTTTTTATTGCATTCTGACAATAAGTAAAGAGCAATCCATTATGTTCCAATATAAATAAAATCAGAGTAATCCTAATAAAAAATTACTTGCTAGTATCTTCACATTTTTATGTTATGACTGCTTTTTCTTCATTTATGACTTCCATATGAGCCCACATTCTTTCCAATATGTTGCAGGCTTTGGTCAGAGAGTTACAAAATGATGTCCATTCAATAAGGCGACAAATCAGAGAACTTAAAAAGGTGCAGAAAAACAGGGATGCTTGTAAAACCTCAACCCATAAAGCCCAGACCTTGGCAGCATCTATCCTGAACATTTCACGGTCAGATCTAGAGGAAATATTGGACACAGAAGATGAAGAAGTAAGATCACTTAAATATTTATTAATAATGGGCTTGTTACACATTGAATGTAAGTACATATTTTTGTTTTATAATTCTTAGAATTTCATCTTTAAGATAATATTAATGAAGGCAAGAATATTAGTGTACCAATGAAAGATATATCAAAAGTATTAACCAACTCAAAAAACCTTTAGAGAAATTTAACTATGTAATACAGAAGTAAGCCAGTACACATAACCTTTAGAACTGCTTGCTTGTTATTCAAGTCAGTTATCCTTTCCTGTCTCTTCCATTTTCTATAGTTCATCATGTATCTTTTAAGCTAGTATTTTTAATTAAGCCTGTTTGAATGGATTTAGTTAGCTGGGTCAGGATTGATTTGAGGATTTTTCGTCGTACATGAGATTTTTTAATGTAATGAATATATTGGCTTTTCTAGATAAATTCAAAGTTATTGTTGATCAAGTTATAGAAAAAGATATTTATTGCTTTAAGGTGGGGAAAATACTCCCATCTGAGTGAATTTATGTGCATATACATATAGGTCTTCAGTAGCATTTCTGTACCTCCTGAGGAGGGCACTGCATTTTTGATAGTTATTGCCTCATAAACAGCAGAATCTCATACACAGTCTTCCGTGAAACCTGTGGAGGATACTCAATCCTGTTCTATTGTGAAGTCTCTGAACTTTAATACATAAATATTAGATTTTTTATTGTTTAGAAAGATTAAGGAGATGATGGTACTCTTAGCTTCCCCATAAATATTTGCTCAATGACTAAATAAAATGATAGACTTAAATGTTTGTATGAGAACATCCTTCAGCACCCCTCCCCCATCAGTTTCTCAAAAAATTTCTGGAATAGAGCAGATCTACAACTTGTAAAAGTTTTTAAACTGCTAAGAATTCTTAGAAAAGAGGTCAAAGGAGTCCTGCAGAGATTATTTTCATCCTATGGGTAAATAGGATAGTGAATTATCAGTTTCCTATTTTCAGCACCTATGCCACAGTGTCTGTGAATTCTGAACTTTGAAGTACAAAAGCATTATGAAATACAGTATCAAATATAAGACACACAGGAAATAATAGTATCTGAGGCAAGGGTGTTAACTGTATCTTATTATGGACACTTAATTAAAATTTGATTGATAAAAAGAAACCTAACAAAAAATTAAGGTAGAGTCCTCCTCTGTTTCCTACAAGTTTTAAAACAAACAGACTTAGCAAAATCCCTCATGTGTATATGTGTGTATACATGTGTGTGTTCCAGATACATATTCTGGAAGACAGCATCACCGCCTTTGTGTGGTCTTAAAAGATGCCCTTACTGGGCTTACAGATTAGAAAAAAGAACCCCCTTTGAGTAGACAAATTGGAAAAAGTTGTCCCCTTTGAGTATATTAATTAGAAAAGGATCTCTCTTGTTAGTCCCAAAGAGTAGCTAGCACATTTCTGTGAAGAAATGGCACCCTGGCCTCTGGGCAGATGCAGTTTGGAGCCAGGGATGCCAAGCACCAAAATGTGCATACCACACAACCTTAAATGGAAGTCGTCCTGGAAGAAAACACACTGTTCTGTGAAGACTCAGTGCACACACCTGGATATATTTACTAGATTTAATTATAGATCGAGCTTATTTGGACTGATCCCTGCCTGCATCTTTCAGAGGTCTAAAGAGTTGAGTGACTTACCCAAGTAGAGCCCAAACCACCTGAATTTTATGCTTTAAGCTACATCGAACTCTTGTAAATTCACGTAAAACATTATGACAACCTATGCGAAGTACCTAGCCTGATACTTGGCATACAGTAAATTTCAACAAATGTTAGTTTTCCAAATCCTTCCCTTTTTGAAAAGCCCATTTTTTGCAAACCGAATCATGATTTTAACTGAATAATCAGTTGCACATGTGAATACATTATACTTTCAGAATATTTTACCTTGATAATTGATGCATTGAAAATATTTAGTGACTTAACAATACTTTAAGTTGGAGCGTTTCTTACCTATCAGCTAGTTATTGGATATTTTAAATGAGTAAGCATTTAAGTACACCAGAACCATGCATGTCCTATTTTGTCTGTGATTATAACAATTACTCCTTAATTATCTACTGATAAGTCAGAGTTTTGAGTATAAGGTTTTATGTCATCTTATGAGGGTTACTTATAAATGATTCTTCTATACAGCTCCATTTTCTTTTTCATTTTATTTTAATCACTTCCACCTCCACCTCAGTCCAGTGTGAGCTCCACTGTGAAGGCAGAAATAAAACATTCCTGAATTATATTATGAAATATAGAAATATAGCTTTATCTTCCACATGTAGGTAGATATTTATACATTAAAGAGCATCGATTTGAATATTCCCTACTTTGAAAGGACAGGCTGCTCTTTGCTGAATCTAATTCCACCAATATTTCTCTAGATTTATTCAGTATCTAACAGTATGATCAAGTTCATATAAATGAAATTAACAACAGTGTTTTTATTTTTTTCCTTCAGGAAATCGAAAGGACAAAGATCGATGCTGAAAATGACAAGGAATGGCTGTTGTACATTCAGAAACTTCTTGAAGGACAGGTATTTTGTTTTTCTACTTCATATATTAAAACTTGCAGATAAAAATTCCAAGCCGTACTTTTTTGTTACTAGATGCCTAATTTTTTGTAAACAGACACATTACTTCTGTTAGGTAAATAAGTATTCTAGTAGGTAGACAGGAAAGTTAACTCTCCATTTGTACTTTTGGACTTAACAAATGAAGCAAATGCCTTGGGAAGGAGCCAACATGGGTTTTAGCAAAGGCATTAATTAAATTATTGAGTCAACCTCTATGCTTGCTAGACTGAAAAGGATCCATTCTCTCAGCCCTCTTAGGAAAAGAGATTGTTTATTATGTGTCTTTAAAGTTAGTAGTTGATATGGACACCTGAGGAGTTCATGGGTTTCAGTGACCTTTTACTATGGACCTGTTTCCAGTCAATTCATGTTTTCCTCACAGCCAGACAGCTGTTTATTACTGTGTCTTCCTGCATTCTCTACAATATTTTCTACTGAGACCTCGAGCAGCTTGTTAGTGGGAAGTAAATATTGATTTGGCATCCTGTCAATGCAGAAAGAATGAAAAAATTTCCACCAGAGGCCCCTCAAACATTTTCCTATCGACATTTTCTGGGCCGAGTGGAAAGCTGCATAGAGGATGACAAGGCCAAGATGAGCTGAAATCCCTGAGGGGTCTATTGAGACTGCTGCTGTGACCTGTGTGATACTTTTTCTTCCCTTTCAAGTATTTTTTTAATACACATATAGTCTGTTGGGATGTGCCCCTCTTGTAAGTGATCAGGGCAGTTTATTGGCAGGTGAGAGCCCTGCTTTTCTAGTCATAGCCAACTTTTGTTTTGATATCACTGACAGCATGTAATATATTCCAAAACTTTTTCATTATAGTTCTTTTTGCTCAACTTAATTGTTGTCTGTTTTTAAAATGAACTGGATTAAAAACAGCTTAAATATATTTCTCAAAATAGCAAAAAAAAAATTTGTTCTGTGAGTGCAGTATCTATGTTTTTGGAAAAGTCAAGAATAAGTAAATAATATATGAACTATTATTCATATTCTTAGTACCCATTTTATATATTTTTGAAACATTATCTGGAAACACTATTACTATCAATAGTAATAGAAGGTGATGGGCACTCTTTTGCCTCAAGTTGTTGAAGTGCAGATGTGCAGGTGCTGGGCAAAGCCTTCTTGCTTTTGAGAAGAAAGGCCATTTCTCAATCATGTTGCATTCCCAGCTCCCAGCCCAGTGCCTGGCACATCAAAGGAGTTCAGTAATGATTGTTACAGGTTATTTTTTTAAACGTGAAAGTTATAAAAATAAACTTTGTAGTGGATTTTTTAACATTCAACTTGTAAGTATGACCTTTTAATATGGAAGTTTTATCGTCAATTATGAACATAAAAATAACAAATCAATATGTATAAATCTTTATTAAATTTTACTAAAGCTCTATTGACACCAGATCTGAGTTTTTGACTAACACATGTAGATATACATATATACATTCTATATTATCTGGATGTATGCTTATTCTGTCCAGTTATTGTAAAAAAAAATCCTGTTGCAAATGGCATTAGACTGCTTAATACTGCAGTTTGATATAGTGCCTTTTTGTGCCACTGAGCCTGGACTCTAGAATATAATTGCCTGGCAGTATTGATTTAATTGCCCAGGTTTATTTGTGGACTCCTAATTATTGACTGGAGGTAAATTTAATGGAGCAGCCTCTATGAACACTGGGAAACCGCTGCTGTTGCTGTTATACATAATGAACTGCACCATGTGCCTTTAGAGTATTTGTCAAGTTAATTTTATTCCACTGTGACAGTATGATAACATTTAAAAAGTCGAAGACTTTTTATTTTTATTACTGACAGAGGTGGTTTTGCTGATGCCTTTGAATTCTGTGAGAAAAAAAAATAGGGACTTCATTGGTTGCACTTGAATGTCACTTTATAATTACACCCAAGAGAAAAATCTATAAAATAGAAAACATCTTTTTTTTATCCTACTTTTCTTCTTTCTCAATTCTAGCAATTATATTTGTCCTGAATTTTAGAAAAGGTTTTCTTTGTCCACCAGCTTTTGGGAGTCTAAATTATGCTCACAGGATTGTGAGGGCAAAAGTATAAATATGTTCATTCATTTGTTTTGTTTAGTTTATGGCATGCAGCTCCGTGTACCTGAGGTTACACGATCTTGAAGCTGTGGAATAATTGAGCGCATTCCCTGAAAAGAACCCTAATTAATTCAGTATTTATATTTGATGATTAAAATATTTTGAAAATAAAATTATAAGAAAACTTCCCTTTTATGTCCTCCCTCTGTGTTGGGTGGTATATGTAATGGAATTCTGACATCATAGGAGTGAATCTGTCCTTGTGGTTTTATCTTTTGTTTAAGGATTCGGCCACAGAACTATTTTCTCTTAAAGAAAATTTTCTCTACATTCATTGGATTAAAATTTATATAAATAAGATATTTACCAGAAAATAAAAAGCTGTCCTGCCATGTGGCAATATGGGCCCACACAATAATATACCTACTGATACTGTTAGCCAGAAATGCATGAGAATTAAAAGGTCTAAAACCTTAACTTATCTATATTTAACACAGAATGTAATATTTGTCCTCCTTTCAAGTGGTCCTGATACAATTGGTAATTTTAAGTGTTTGATCTTTATCTGCATCTAACCTTTGTCCCCACAGATTTCTAATAATAAGAATCACACTTAAAAAAAGTTGTTCTAATACCTACTTTCATTTTTTATGGCATAGCTGCCTTTTAATTTCTTTGAAGATTTTTACTTGTATTAATTCCTCTTTTTGCATTATTACATTTTTTAAAACTTACAGTTTATGGCAGAGACAAGCAAGCAAATTAATGATTATAATAGGGTGGGAGAACCACCCAAAATTAGCTTTTCTGTGTTTTAGGACATGGGAGAAAAAAAAACAGAAATAGGAAAAGTAGACTGGGACTAAACAATAAACACCTTTGAGCAGGAAAGGGATGTAATCAGAGTTGTGCTTTAGAAAGATACATGAGATCAGCATGTAGGATGGTTTGAAAGGATAAGAGACTGGGAGCAAGAAGGTAGTCAAGGCAAAAGGAAGTGGGGGCCTGCATGTACCCTCACTATAAAAATAGGAAGGACGAGATAGATGTGACCCACTTTATAGAAACTGAATTCATAGCAGTACTGAGATTAGATGAAGGGGTCAGAAAGCAGAAACCAAAGAGAGGTGAGTTTAATACCTTATATGATGAGAAAGATAATGATACCTTTAAAAGTTTTAGGGATCAAAAGAGGTAGATCAGATTTGGTAGAGAGAGATGTCAGTGATTGAAGCCATAAAAAATTCAGTTGATACATGTCAATAACAGTATTCAGGGACTCACAGTTTTTCATTAGTTCATTCCAACCTGCTGTGCGGCTTTTCTCAGTGAAATCTAACCATTTAAGAACACATTTCAAACTCTTACAACTCAACAACGAAAGAAAAGAAACTGATCTGAATAGTCATTTCTACAAGAAGATATACAAATAGCCAATAAGCACATGTACGTATGCTCAACATCAGTAGCCATTAGGGAAATGCAAACCAAAAACCAAAATGAGATACCACTTCATACCCAGTAGGATGGCTATAATCAAAAGGACAGACAATAGCAAGTGTTGGTGAGGATGTGGAGAAATTAGAACCCTTATACATTGCTTGTGAGAAGGTAAAATGGTGCTACCCTTGTGGAAAACAGTCTGGCAGTTCCTCAAAAAGTTAAAAGTAGAGATTATATGACCCAGCAGTTACACACTTAGGTATATACCCAAGATAAGTAAAAACATATGTCCATATAAAAACTGCTACATAAATGTTCATAGCAGCTCAATGACAGTTCATAATAGCTCAAAAGTGGAAGGAATCCAAAGGTCCATCAACTGATGGATGGATAAACAAAACATGGTATTTGCATACATGAAATATTATTCAGCCATGAAATGGAATGAAGTACTGATAGTGCTACAACCTGGAAGAACCTTGTACACCTTATGCTACGTGAAAAAAGCCATACACAAAAGGTAACTTGCTGTATGATTGCATTCTATGAAATGTACAGAATAGGCAAATCTATCAAGACAGAAAGTAGGTTAGTAGTTGCCAGGGGATAGGGGAAGAGGGACCATGACTGCTAATGGGTATAGGGTTTCTTTTGGGGTGATGAAAATGTTCTGGAATTAGATGAAGGTGATGTTCTGGAATTAGATGAAGGTGATGGTTGTACAACTTTGTACAACCAATGAATTATACATTTTAAAATGGTGAACTTTACGTTATGTGAATTATATCTCCATTTAAAAAATGAATTCCTTAATATGAGGCACAGTGAAGAAGAATAAAAAGAATACCTTTTTATTTTTAAGTAAATCCAATTAAGTTCTTTTTTTTAGCAGCCAGAGACTATTTATTTTTTAATTTTTTTAATTAGAAAAATTTAATTTTCAAAATTTATTTTTGGCTGCGTTGGGTCTTCATTGCTGTACATGGGCTTTCTCTTGTTATGGCAAGTGGGGGCTACTCTTCATTGCGGTGCATGGGCTTCTCATTGCGGTGGCTTCTCTTGTTGCGGAGCACGGGCCCTAGAGCACGGGCTTCAGTAGTTGCGGTGCACGGGCTCAGTAGTAGTGGCGCATGGGCTTAGTTGCTCAGCAGTATGCGGGATCTTCCCAGACCAGGGGTCGAACCCGTGTCCCTTGCACTGGCAGGCAGATTCTTAACCACTGCACCACCAGGGAAGTCCCCAATTAAGTTCTTATATCTCATGTGCTATGTCCCCCACCATTAGCAGGGACTGCATTAAATGCATTTGAATTTGAATTTCTGTCTACTGGCCATAACTATGAATAAATGAGGTAAATTATTTTATTTCATACTTAATATGTTTCCTTTCAATTGACAAAGAAGGAGCTGTCCCTCTATCATACTCTAGCTGATATTACTTTCTCATATATGCAAACAAAAAGGAGTCAGTTATTTATACTCTGCCCTCTAAGAGGTATTGTTTATTTGTTCTGTCCATTCTGATCCTCAAAATTAAAATTATAGTAAGGATCACTTAGTTTTGTTTTCAGGCCTTAATAATACCTGAAACAGTCTTTTGTACTTGTGATTTTATAAAGGAAGTGGAAAGAATTAGTGGAGATAAAATTGAACCCAAGCTGTGAAATCCATTTTTAAAATGTGTATTGAGTGTCTACTGCATGTAAGGTAATGTTTCAGGTTTGGTGCTATAGCAGTGAACAAGAGACAAAAATCACTACCCTCATGGAGCTTACATCTCTGGTGATGGAGGGCAATGAACAAATAGTTAAAATATATAAACTATGAAAGTTTTTAAACAATTAACTTGAACAGAATTATGGGTATGTATATTAAAATATGTATACTTGTATAAAACAAATAATATACAGTTATAACCACAATATGGTTCTTTACTAGGATTTATATAAAAAACACTTAGCCAGAAATGGCTACAAAATGTGTCTTGATCTTGTTTTGTTGTTGCCTTATTCTATGTTGTTTGTTAATCCTTTTCTAGATTTCATTCAGTCCATTTTCATCCACTTTGTGTAGATCATTTTCTTGTATTGGGACCATATCAAAAATTCTTTCTGCCTTCAGTTGTTGATAATTGAAAGTATAGACTTTGATCGATGTTTTTTCTTTAGCTTTAGATATCCCTGTTCCTATTAGTTGTTTCAGATCTTGCAAACGGTGAAATTTTAAATGGCTCTTTCCCCAGTGCCCTTTCTGCAAAATATGCTTACCTTCTATAGATGCTTTGCAATATGGCAGTGAGAAGGTTTTATAAATCTCCCTGGCTTTTGTAAATAGAATAACTTCCAGTCTGAAGGTTAACAGAAAGTTTCTCTTTACAGCCCTGAAGACATTTACTCTTTTGCTTTCAGTGTTGCACTTACAACACACTGATAACACGCACATACTGCAAACCCCCACACTCACTCTCTCCACACACGTAAACCCACACAGTCACCCACATACACTTACTCCTCACATCCAACTGAAGTAGCAAAAGTTAAAAATTCTCCATTCAGAGCCTTACTGGGATTTCTTTTTTTAATTTAACAAATTAAAGCCTACTTTCATGATACCAGAAAAAAGACATGTCATTAAAGTTAAAAGGTAAATTTTATGTGTATTTTACCACTATAAAAAACTGCAGGGGGCGGGCTTCCCTGGTGGTGCAGTGGTTGAGAGTCCACCTGCCGATGCAGGGGACACGGGTTCGTGCCCCGGTCCGGGAAGATCCCACATGCCGCGAAGCCACTGGGCCCGTGAGCCATGGCCGCTGAGCCTGCGTGTCCAGAGCCTGTGCTCCGCAACGGGAGAGGCCACAACAGTGAGAGGCCCGCGTACCGCAAAAAAAAAAAATTGGGGGGAAATGAAAGGAAAACAAATTATAGCCTTCACCAAAGTTTAAGAATAGCAGATATAGACTTCAATATTCAGCTGAACACCAAGACAGATAAATAGGTAGAAGGATAGATAGATAGATAATGTGCCAGAAATATAAACAACATTTAGGAAACTTAGCTCACAATTCAATGCCAGTTTTAAATTATAAATAAATTGTTCTTTCTGATACCTTGCTTGGTTATTTTAACAAGTTCAATCTTTTAATTACAAGATAGTAGAGTGGGTGTATAAATATTTATTTATTACAAATTTTCCATCTTTAATTTTATAATAATCAGACTATATTAGTTTCTTACTAAACTCAAAATCTCACTGAATCATATCCTTTGTTAAAGCAGGTATAATACATAAAATTTAATATCTTTACTTTGAGTACAGCTCTGCTAAAGTCAATTTTTATTTTTACATTTTATTTTATTTATTTTATTTTTTAACATCTTTATTGGAGTATAATTGCTTTACAATGGTGTATTAGTTTCTGCTGTATAACAAAGTGAATCAGCTATACAAAATATACAAGCAGCTCAATAACAAAAAAACAAACAACCCAATTCAAAAATGGACAGAAGACCTAAATAGACATTTCTCCAAAGAAGATATACAGATTGACAACAAACACATGAAAGGATGCTCAACATCACTAATCATTAGAGAAATGCAAATCAAAACTACAATGAGAGGCCACAACAGTGAGAGGCCTGCGTACCGCAAAAAAAAACAAACAAAAAACACTACAATGAGGTATCACCTCACACCGGTCAGAATAGCCATTATCAATTTTTATTTTAAAAGCAGTATCTTTTGGTAATAGTTTTCAAACCAAAAATAAGAATGAAAATGGTTAAAATGTTAATCTTGTCCTTTAGATTTAAAGAGGTACTCTTATTTCAATTTTTTTCTTTCAATACAAAACTTTTCAGTTTTATACTATTAAGAGCACATTCCAGTTAGTGCTAATGCTATAAATTATCTGTATGTTTCAAACTTATGGACTTGAGGCTTTGTTATTCTTCCAACATAGCTCTCCAACATCTGCAACTATCATTCATATCTTACCTTTATACAGAAACACCTCTAAATGAAGCCATTTATTGTGAGTGATAAGTTTGAGGTTGTGTCACTGGCACACCACTTTCTAAAGGCAAACATCTGTAGGCATTTACATATAAGAGAAGCCTAAAATCTGAAGTCAGGGGAAGTCCTTCCAGTAAGAGAAGTCACCTTTGGCAACAGGGACAGCCAGCATGACCAGGAAGACCCACTTTAAGATTACAGTATAGACCAAGCAAAACTCACAGTTATTCCGATGCCCTAATTAAATTCCCATTCCAAGAAATCTCATGCAGTATCAGCTCTTCCCCTGTCCATTTTTCCCCTTGTGCTGAAGAGTTCAAGCTTGTGTAACTGCAATGACATAACTAAGAGTATCACTTCTTTTTTATGCAAGAGAATAAAATTATGCAGAAAGTCCAGCGGACTTTCTGGACTTCATAGGCCCCGGCACATGCCATCCGAGATGAAACCCAAGGCAGCGTAATTGTTGGGTTTGTTGTTTCACGTATATTTGATGGGGCAAGTGAGAAAAGATCTCTGCTGTTGGCTAGTCAGGTTGCCACTTCAATCCAAATCCAAAATCCTGTCAGTAAAAGAACGGTTGTGCTTTCTTCTGTATCTGAGGGAGTTCCCTCCAGAATGCAGAGAGAGAGAAAGGAACAGACTCTATGCTGCCTGTACGAAATAAACCTGCACTTAATCTAGACTCTAAAAAGTTCAGATTTCCTCATCTTCTTAGTGTTTTTAAAACATTTTGCAGTTCTAAAAAATATGGCAAACAAATAAGCAAACAATGCAAATTTTTAAAGCACTTCCTGAGGCATTTTATGTATTAAATATAGTTTCAGTGGTAACTCTATCTACTCTATATCTGTATGCTGAGAATTGCTATTCATATGGTACCATAGGATTTCGAAGAGCTTTCTTGAGTCACTGTAGATTAAATTATATTCCACTTAGTCTTCAGATTAACTATAATTTATGAGATTTAAGTTATTGATAATCTATGATATACATGATTACTCTCAATTAACTAAAAATAACCAATTAACTAAAAATCCCATTTTTTAACCTTTCTCAAAAAACAAAACTTTTTGTTAATTCATCCTTCACTAATCAGAAATTTTTATCTGTACTATGAAAAAAGTTTGTGAAAAATGAATAGTGTAAAATTGGTAAGAGAGGCTATTTTCAAAACCAAGGCTGTTAGTGTATTTATTATTTAAATATGTATTGAGTCTGCTCCATAACTAAGGAACTATTTGTAAAATAGAAAGGAGATCTACTAAAAAATTTGGTTAACAGTTACTTTGCTATTTTATTCATTTGAAAACAATAAGTATATTTTATGAAATAAGTATGTTTTGTTAAATGTTTATTTTTTTAATTTATTTTTTTCAAGTATAGTTGACTTACAGTGTTGTGATAATTTCTGCTATACAGCAAAGTGATTCAGTTATACACACATATATATACATTCTCTTTCATATTCTTTTCCATTATGATTTATCACAGGATATTGAGTATAGTTCCCTGTGCTATACAGTAGGACCTTGTTGTTTATCTTATGAAATGTTTTATAATTCTGACTTTTTCTTAGTCTTCTTCTAACTTTGTTTTAATTATTAACTGTTCCATCATAAATTATATTAATTTTATATTATTACAGAATTACAATTGATCCTTATATATTAAAAAAAAATTTTTTAAGACCAGTTTGAAAGCTGGTTGCCAATGAACTACAATTCATAAACAGAAAGTAGAACACTGGGTTTAGAGGGGGAAAAAGTAGGAATCTTTGTATTTAAAAGGAAAATAGAAAAGTTGGATTAAAATAGATAAAGAACCATCTCCAACTACCTTGTAAGATATATGAACTTTTGTCTAATGTTATATAAAGGCAGATACTAATCTTTTTCTGACCTATTTGTAGAGAAAAATAGAAGAACCTACAAGGGCAGATGGATGTGCACAAATCATGCATCTTGATTAAAGGATGGGTTGCTTTTTGAAATGCATGAAGTGTTAGGCTCTGTATGAAGCTTAAAAGAAGCTTACAATCCAATATAACAGGTTTGACAAACAGTTGTGTTTAACTGTGGGGCTTTTCATTTTTATTGGGAGCCTGAGGAAAAGAATAAAAGGGGTTGTCAGCAATAAATTAGTAAATGGACCTCATGTTCCACTTTGGAGGCTTCCTGGAAGAGAGATTCTTCGAGATAAGAAGAAGCCAAATGTCCAAGTACACGACATGCTGAAATTGTTCTGATCACAAGATAATAAGAGTAGGTTTAGTTTTTAACTTGAAAATGAACTGTGCAAATAAGATGATTAATGTCAGTACATTGTGGCCTGGTAAAAGTGCTGTGACATTATTATACAGGAAATCATAGAGCCAGCATGTTTCCCAAAGTGTATTCCATGGACCACTAGTTCCACATGATAAATAGACTATGAGAAAAGTGCGGACAAATGAATTTAGAAACAGAGTATTACATTGCCCTCTTGGAGAAACACAGTACCATTAGTACCTTAAAGTCTCTAAGAGATCCTGAAATAAAATAACATTTTAAAGTTTGGTTTCTTTCCCAAACTTATTTGATCAGAGAACCCTTTTTTCTTAGAACAACTTTTTTAAACACTCATTTCTGCTTTTGCTTCTACCAGGAAGAGATGGGAGGTTATTCTCATCTTGTTTCTTTGCTCTTTTGTTGGAATGCATATGGTACTGAGTGCCATAGTCAAAATAAAAGAAAGTTACCTGGTAGTTGTGCCTTGGTGTGTGTGAGTATTCCTTTAACATCTAATGTTAATGCCCTGAGAATTTAAATTGTCTCATTTGTAAAACTGGCAGTTTCACCAAATATAACTGTTTTCTGCATCCCAGAGGGCAATCTTCTCAAAGTAAGGATTTGCAGTGAGTATCATTATCTTCCAGAAGGGAATCTAATATATTTTTTCCTTGATTCTATGATGCATTTCCTCACGTTTTCACATTTCTGAAATTGAAATGCCTATGCAATTTGTGTATATTTAATGTGATAGGTTTCTTTTTTCCAGAAAAAGCTGTTTTTAAGTCAATGTGGGTATCTTATATTCACCTGTATCTTAAGAAGTGAAGAAATGTGATATTTTTGTATCTTATGCTTTATTTAGTGGTAAGTTTCAAGTAGGACAAATGTCTAAAACTCTTGACATAGACTATAGATAGAGTCTATCCTGACATAGACTCAGAGTATCTTAAGGAGAAGTCAATTTATTATAAATATAAGAAGGAAGTTAAGCTAGAAAGCTACTTAAGATATGAGGCAATTCTATGGACCAACACCGGTCTCTATATTTTCTCCATGGCCTGCATAATCTGTTTGTGCCTTTTGGGCCTGTTTCACTGCCCAATCTGTTTCACTGCCACTGGCCAGTCTTTTCTCTGTTTCCCAGTTTGCATTCAGAAAAGAACCATTATGCTGGGTTTAGCTAAATATAACAGCTGAGCATAGCTGATCTGAGCACAGCTGAACAACTCACACAGCGGACATCAGGCTGATTTTGCTCAGGTGCTGACCAGTGTTGCTGTCTGTCGGTGGTTGTCCTAGCACAAAGAAGGGCCTGACTCTACATCCCTGTAGGGAAGGGGACTGGGCTTGATAAGGATTCTCGTTAATATATTCAGGGAGACAAAAGTAGTCTTTACTGGTTAATCAAAAAGACAATTCCAAAAATAACTTAATGAACTTCTTGATTGTTATAAACCTTTTATATGAAACTAGATAGCTAGGAAGGAGGATAAAAGGAAGTCGGTAGGCTTTGGGAGGTAACTGGGCAACATTTAGGATTTTCTTTCACTTATAACCCATAAGTGTATTGTGTGAGTTCTACGGGCACCTCAGTGAAGCACAGGGAACGATAAAACTTTACCAGAAAAGTTATATAAATTATGAAATTTAAAAATGTAATCTATATTTCATAAACTTAGCAGTTTGCAACATGTGTATTACACTTTGATATGCCAAACTTTTCTATAACAACTTAATCAATGGATATACTTTTGCCATTTTTTTTCCTCTGAAATTTCACCCTACAATTCTTGAGATGTTCAGCTCTAACACAGACAAGTGTATTGATAGTTCTTTCTCACTCTTTTATGAGTGATGAACATACAGTACTACTGTGGGCCTCTGGGCCCTAGAGAAGACTGTAACCTGCTATTGATCAGCTGACTGAAGATAAATGGCTTAACTGCTTGTATTGCAGATTACAACATTAACATGGTCAGTAAACCATGAATTGTTCAATAAGGCGTTTATCTTTTTTCATTTTACTTCTGCTCCTTTATCATTTTTATTATAAAAGACAAAATTACCCACACTAACCAACAAGATCAGTTGAAAAGAGACCCAGTAGGGTACCATTATGGGTGCAAAGTTGCAGACAGCTGAGTTCTAATGGTTTAATGATATTTAGTATATATTTCTGAACTGAAGAAAATATAGAGTTTTCATCTTTTTTTCTGTGTTTCTTTTACAGCTTCCTTTGGCCACATATTTACTAGAAGCAGTACTGGAGAAAATAAATGAAAAAAAGAAACTAGTTGAAGAATATTTTGCAATTTTGAAAGATATTAGATGATATTATGATTAAGAACATTTTTTCAAACGTGAAAACTTTATGTGGTGTGATCGGAAAACATGCATCGCAGTCCTGATAACAGTATCTGCTCCAACTATCAATAGTCAGGGTCAATACCAAAATAGAAGTCTGTGAAACCAATTAATTGCTGCACAAGTGAAACTAATTAAGTGCACAGCCATTTAGAAGGAAATAGTGTAGCATTTGATTGTTGAATACAAATATTGCCACAAATCAATGCAAACTTGAAAATGATATTCTTTCCAGTACATTAGAAGGAATTAGAACAAGCTTGGCATACACAAATTGGTCTGAATATCAAAAGAAAAAAATGTGAACTGAGGATTTAATGTTCTGAGTTTTATAAAGAAACTACACTTTTTATGTAAACCTGCTATAAATGGCCTTAAATCACCTGATAAGCAACACATTTGTATTGTAAGCAAATATAAAGTAAAGCATTATCATATTATATTAAGGATGAGCATTTAATGAAATAAATGGTGTGGTCCAATTGTATCTATTATCAGTCTACTGGATTATATAGGAGATATTGTATTTTCCTAGAACAGTTCAGCAAAAATAAAAGCATTTTCTCCTTTGCTCCCTCTTTTTTTTTTTTTTAACTCACAGTATTTTGTGTGGTCATATAAATTAGCAAGGGCCACAAACCCAGTGTATTAGTTAGGCTAGTCCTCACAGTGTGCTAATTAAATTAAATTCTTAACAATGGGCATCCATCCTTATTTAGATTCCCGAACATTCCCAAGCCATTTCTCGTCTTTCTGTGTTGCTGCCACACCTGACTTTTTGGTTCTTCCAATTCACCAGACTTGTGCCTGCCTCCAGCCTTTGCCCTTGCTGTTCTCTTTGTAGAATACCCTGTACTCTTTTCTTATGACTGGCTCCTGCGTATCATTCAGGTTTGCATTACATATTTCCTCAAAGAAGCATTCCCTGGCCATCTTGCTATTAATTTCCTTTATAACACAAAAGCATCTTTTACCTCTTCACTTACTTATTTTCTTGTTTTCCCCCCTCCCCTGCTTTAAAATATAGATCCCGGGCTTCCCTGGTGGCGCAGTGGTTGAGGGTCCACCTGCCGATGCAGGGGACACGGGTTCGTGCCCTGGTCTGGGAAGATCCCACATGCTGCGGAGCGGCTGGGCCCGTGAGCCATGGCCGCTGAGCCTGTGCGTCCGGAGCCTGTGCTCCGCAACGGGAGAGGCCACAACAGTGAGAGCCCCGCGTACCGCAAAACAAAACAAAATAAAATATAGATCCCATGAGGTTAAGGCAGGGGTTGGCAAATCATGACCCACAGGCCAAATCTGGCCTGCCACCTGTCTTTGTGTGGCCTATAGTAAGCTAAGAATGATATTTACATTGTTAAATGCTTTAAAAACAAAAAGAATTATATTTTGCAGCATGTGAAAGTTATATAAATTCAAGTTTTAGTGGCTATCAATAAAGCTTTATCGGAACACAGCTACGCTCATTCGTTTTAGTACTGTTTATGGCTGCCTTCACACTACAGTAGTTCAGGTTAGTACTCTCACAGGGACCATATGTAGTGTGCTCACCACTTTGCAGGACTGCAAGTCACAGTGACACAGTTACAACTTGACAACATTTTGTGTCACAAACACTACGATACTGCAATTTTTTTAGTACCAGTGCATACCCATCATGTAAAAATAAAAAGAGAAAAATGGCTGTCAAATGTCACACTTTTTTTTTTTTTTTTTTTTGTGGTACGCAGGCCTCTCACTGTTGTGGCCTCTCCCGTTGCGGATCACAGGCTCCGGACGTGCAGGCTCAGTGGCCATGGCTCACGGGCCTAGCCGCTCTGCGGCATGTGGGATCTTCCTGGACCGGGGCACAAACCCATGTCCCCTGCATCGGCAGGTGGACTCTCAACCACTGCGCCACCAGGGAAGCCCCAAATGTCACACTTTTAATCACAGTGAAGTGTGGATTATTTTTTTATTGAATTCAGTGGCAAAGCATTATGTTTATTAAATGACACTCTACCTATGCTAAAAGAATGCAATATATACGTTATCAGACTAAGTACTCATCACAATATTCCCAACTCATGGGAAAGCAACAGTAAGAAAAAATTACAAAATTTAAAATGTAATGTCTCAGGCTTCCCTGGTGGCACAGTGGTTGAGAATCTGCCTGCTAATGCAGGGGACACGGGTTCGAGCCCTGGTCTGGGAGGATCCCACATGCCGCGGAGCAACTAGGCCCATGAGCCACAACTACTGAGCCTGCGTGTCTGGAGCCTGTGCTCTGCAATAAGAGAGGCTGTGATAGTGAGAGGCCCGCGTACCACGATGTAGAGTGGCCCCCGCTTGCCACAACTAGAGAAAGCCCTCGCACAGAAACGAAGACCCAACACAGCAAAAATAAATAAATTAATTAATAAACTCCTACCCCCAACATCTTAAAAAAAAAGTCTCATCACAGCAGAATTTTGTTACAAAAAATAAAACTGAGATGACATAGTATTACCCAGATACCAAAACCAAAGACAGTACACAGAAATAGAGTGTGGTAGGCTAAATTTGTTACCTTATATGGCAAAAGGGACTTTGCAGTGTAATTAAATTAAGGATCTCAAGTGGAGAAATAATCCTGGATTCTTTTTTTGGGCCCAGTGCCTTCTAAGAAGGAGTCAAGAGGAGACATACAGAAAGCAGTGTTACTGCAGAAGCAGAGGGACGGAGAAATTTGAAGATGCTATCCCCATAGGTGTATGTATGGATGAAGAGGACCATGAACCAAAGAATGTAGGCAGCTCCTGGAGACTGGAAGAGGCAAGGAAATGGATTGTATCCTAGGGCCTCCAGAAAGAAACAGATTTGTTGACACCTTGACTTTAGCCTAGTGAAACCAATTTTGCATACCCAGAACTGTAAGAGATTAAATTTTTGCTGTTTTAAGCCAATAAGTTTGTGGTAATTTGTGGCTGCAGCAACAGAAAACTAATGCAAATTTGCTTTGATTCCATTTAGAATTTTTCTATGTTCATGAAGGATATTGGTCAGAAGATGCAAGATCTAGGCTGGTTCAGTATTCAAAAATCAGTCAGTGCATGCCACCATTCTAACAGACTAAAGAAGAAATATTATGCGATCATAAAACTTTAGAAAAAACTTTTGAAAAATTCAACACTGGGCTTCCCTTGTGACGCAGTGGTTGAGAGTCCGCCTGCCGATGCAAGGGACACGGGTTCGTGCCCCGGTCCGGGAAGATCCCACATGCTGCGGAGTGGCTAGGCCCGTGAGCCATGGCTGCTGAGCCTGCGCGTCCGGAGCCTGTGCTCTGCAATGGGAGAGGCCACAACAGTGAGAGGCTCACGTACCGCAAAAAAAAAAAAAAAAAAAAAAAAAAACCACCCATGCATGAAAAAAAAAAACCCAGAAAACTAGGAAGTTCCTTAATTTGATAGGAACATCTACAAAAAGCCTACATCTAACATTATGCTTAATGATGGAAGATTGAACACTTCCCCTTAAGATCAGAAAGAAGAGAAGGATGTCCACTCTCATCACCCTAATTCACCATAATATTGAAAATTCTAGCCGGCACAGTAAGGCAAGAAAAGGAAATAAAAGGCATACAGATGGGAAAGGAAAAAGTAAAGCTATCTAAAAAAATAAGCCAGCTCTCTCAGAATTAACAAGTGACTTCAACAAGGTCTCAAAATATTTAAGAGCAACATATAAAAATAGTTTATCTATACACTAGTAAGCTAGTAATAAATATGTGGAAACCAAAATTTAAAATACAATGCAATTTACAATTGCTCAAAAAAAAAAAGTATACCTAGGTGTTAATCTAACAAAGTATGTACAAGATTGTATATGGAAAACTACAAACACTGATGAGAGAAATCAAAGAAGATTAAATGGGGAGGCATACTGGGAATATAAATTGGAAATTCAACATAGCAAAGATGACAAAATTGTTTCCAAATCCATATACAGATTTAAGACAATTCCTATCAACATCACAGCAAGATATTTTGAAGATGGAGACAAGACTCTTCCAAAATTTATACGGAAAGGCAAAATTTTTTAAATGGGAGATATCACTCTATCCAATTTCAAGATGTATTATATAGCTACACTAATCAAGAGTATGTGGTGTTGGTAGTGGGATAGACACACAGATCAATGAAACAGAGTAGAGAACCAGAAACTATACCTATGCAAATATGCTCAACAGGTTTTAAACAAAGGTTCAAAAACAATTCAATGGAGTCAGAATAGCCTTTCAACAAATGATGCTGAAACAATTAGAAATCCCTAGGTTAAAAAAAAAAAAACTTGACCTAAACTTCACACTTGAGACACAAATGATCTCAAAATGAATCATATATTGAAATGCAAAATATAAAAGATAATGTGAGACAAAATCTTCGGGATCCAAGACAAGGTGAAAAGTTTCTATACATGACACCAAAAGCATAATGCACAAAAGAAAAATTGGCGAATATGACTTCAACAAAATTAAAAATTCTTGCTCTGGGAATAGACAAGCTACAGACTGGGAGAAAATATTTGCAAACTACAAATATCTGACAAAGGACTTAAATCTAGAGTAAAAAATTCTCAAAACTCAACAATAGGGAGACCTTCAAGACGGCAGAAGAGTAAGATGTGGAGATCACCTTCCTCCCCACAAATACATCAAAAATACGTCTACATGTGCACCAACTCCTACAGAACACCTACTGAATGCTGGCAGAAGACCTCAGACTTCCCAAAAGGCAAGAAACACCCCCACGTACCTGGGTAGGGCAAAAGAAAAACCAGAGACAAAAGAATAGGGACCTGACCTGCACCACTGGGAGGGAGCTGTGAAGGAGGAAGAATTTCCACACAGTAGGAAGCCACTTCAATGGCGGAGATGGGGTGGGGTTGGCAGGGGGGAGGGGACCTTCGAAGCCAGAGGACAGCACAGCAATAGGGGTGCAGAGGGCAAAGTGGAGAGATTCCCGCACA